GGGTTTCACAAACCAAAACAGAGCTCGACATTCCGGCCCGGAACGCACATATTCAAAGGAGAATAACTGACTGTAGGTTTGTTTTTCAGATAAACAAGTATGTTAACTTAGCATGTGTATTAAATATCTACAAACATATTATGGTATTTTTATGCTTTAGTAGAGTCAAAAACTTACATACAGCACCTTTAAAAATCAGTTTTCGAATTGAGAAATTAATGAAATTTTTACTTCGGAACTCGACTGTTGCACTCTATGACACAGTTGAGCCAAACCTCTCTATCACAGGACAGAGATCACAGGATTTCATCTAGAACTGAATTTTGACAAAATATGTAGTTGTTGAAAAAAAAAAAAAAAAACATATAATGTAAAGGCATATAACATTGTTATGTCCAGAAGCATAAAACAACTAAATAATTCAGATTTTTATTTATTTATTTAAATACAGTATGCCATTTTCAAAACTGAATTGTTGGTTCCCAAGTAAAGTATGTCCCTGCATGTCACTTTTTAATAAACTAGTAATAAAGCACCTGCTGCCTACAGAAAACATATTTTCATTAGAATTAACAAAAAAAAAATGGTGCTGAGACGAAAATAATTTGATGAGACATACTTTTACACATAAAATGCTACAATCATGTTCATGTCACTGCTGTCAAAGTTCACTGCAGCGAAATTGATATGCAGAAATGGCCATTTTAATGAAACAATCTGTTATTTATTAATATGCAATTAACACTTGCTTTGTCACTAGCCCTAAGAAGCTGTGTTATGAATTACATTCAGAATCCTTTTTTGTCCATCTTCATGATTATTAGCTTGATTATTATTCAACACCATTCTGCTTCCATTTAAAAAGCCCCTAAATTTAACTCATGTTACAATAATGTATAAAAATGAAATTGTTTCTTGAATCTTTTTTGAATCTTGTTTCTTTGGGCTTTTATGATATTAAAAGTGGTGCTGATGTGCCATCTGGATATGCTGGAATTAAAATCAGTGTTTATTAAACCTTCCAATTATGTCATGCCTAGCTGAGTCACTGCCAGAAAGGGAATAAGGATCGGTGATCAAAGTGAAATTTGCAGTCTCTTGGGGGCTATTTTTACTGAATCAGGCCACAGATGTCAACATCGTCATCTTCTCCACTCCCAAACCTGCGTCAGAAGAGACAAACCAGATAACAGTCAATTATTGCAAAGAAACTTTGCATTTCAATTTGTTATATAAATGATTAAGCTGCAGTATCAGACTTGCTTGCATAACAAATGTGGCATGAGTTTGACAGAATATATAAACGTGTTGTGCAGTTATCATGCAATAATTATCTAAAGAGCCTGTACGTAGAGGCATTGAAAAATGTGCTAGCCCTAAAAACAGTTTTTGTCCAGGTTGTTTGACTGCTGTACAGTACAAAAAAGCCTGTGACAGATGGCTGCCGTGACAAGCATCAGTGTGGGTTAAGCTCTCATAGGAGTTGAAATATCTACTGCAGTGCTTTTCTCACAGATATCGATGTGAGCTCTCCTCCAATCCTGTCCTCTAGATATGTACCAGCATGATATAGCATTTTTAGTATAATAGGTGTTTTATGAATAGTGTCCTGTGTCTTATATGTTATATTCCTATGCCTACTCACATTAAAACGTAAATACTAAAGTGTTATGTAATATGAACATTCGTACTGGCTTCAGTGTTCTTTCATTATCATCACCCAAGCATTATTTTAATGTGATGATAATGGACATGCATTAAACATGTCCAGGCAATGTTCAAAATGGCAAGCTGTAATACTGCACCGACTATTTCTGTAGTATAGCTAATATGTGTCCTGTGCATAGTATGCATATCCTGCTAACAAAATGTGCAGTATACAAAAAAGGATACTTGGCACACTGTATCCCACACTGCAATGCACTCCACTTTCTCCATTTGAGTCGTTGTTTTATTGGACTGCCAAAAGTTGACATTTTAACCCAAGACTGAATAAAAAAAATGCTAATTAATCATATTTAGCATACTTAATTGTACTCGCATGCCATGTGTTGAGGTAATGTCATGTTACAATAATGTAGCCCTCAGTTGTATTCAGTGGTCAAATATTTCTGAATAGTGTTTGCATTAATGGCTGGATGATTGTACATTACACCGTACATGATGCCTACTGTTTCACTTACTATTTTTAAAAATAGTAGACAGTATACAGTGTATACTGCACAGTAAATAATAAGCTAGTATTCCATTCTGAACGTGTCTATTAGAAGTAGAATACCAAAAATGAAGTTTGGGGGGGAGGGGAGAAATTAGCACACCTGAAGGAATGCAGGGGATGTCAGTATGGATTTGAGCCCTGATGGGTCTGTTGCTGGCCAAAGACTCCTGTGCTTCATCAGCAGTTACACTGTGCTGAGATCATTCTTTGTCATGTCCTGACTCTAGGATGTAATGCTGGGTCAGCATTTAGCTAGAGTTTAGTTTACACACAGTCAAGTCATGGCTCACTCTCCTACGGCCTAGATTCCTAAAACAAGAGTATCCCTCAAAAGATTTACTCTGGGAGAAGCATCCCGTCCCCTTTTCTTTTTCTTCTTTTTAGAAATAAAGCCATCCTTAGAAAGAAGCCATCACTGTTGTCATAGTGCCAAACGTCCTTGTAAACAATGAACTCTTTATATACAGTTCTCAAAGCAACACGGCTGCCAAGTTACAAAAAACAATCATGCCCCGACATATGAGCATCCACACATAAGCACTTAGATTAAGTTCTTAGATTAACATTTAAAAGATATAAATACAGAAAAATATTTCTTTAGATGAGATGATGAAAATGATCCAGCATCAGGAATAAATGAATCTTTAGATACAACACTTGAGGGCATGACCATCAATATTGTTGCTGTAGTTTGGTGATGAGGCTAGCATGTAGGCTCAAGCACAGCTTATTTCTAGACAGATGTGCATGGAAAGAGCAATTAGGTTGCACACTTGAAGCGCTCACTTCTCAACTAAATTTGCATTTAACTGAGCCTCCAAGGCCATCTTGTCAAAGGTGCGCATGTTTGTCTCTTCACGAACACGATCCCGCACGTGGAAAGATGCACGAGCCACGGATCGAGCACTTTCTAACACAGCACGTTTTTCTCTGAAAATCTGTTCACTTTTTTCCAGTTTGCGCTCAATGGACTGCAACAATTCTAGGCGGCGCTGTTTCTCCTCCTCTTCTACGCGTTGACGGTTAAGCCTTTGGAGGCGTTCTTTTTCCTTCCTGCTTTGCACCACACGTTGGGACTTCTCCCGTGCCCGCTCTTCAGCTACTTGAGAGGCTTGTTGTGCTCGTCTTTCGGCTTCCCTAGCCTTTGCCTCCATCTGTTCCTTCTGCTGTTGCTCACGTAGCTCGGCGGCCCGTCTTGCTTTCTGGATCTGCTTCTCTTCTCGCTTAGCTTTCTCCTTTAACTCTTGCCCACGTTTTTCTTGTATCTGCTCATAGTTCTCCAAAGACCTACTTAGCTTCTCTTCAGCTATTCTCCATGCTTCTTCACGCTCGTCCACTTCACGACGTGCAATCTCTTGGATAAGAGCTGCATGGTGCCTCTTCTCGGCACGGTTGAGTCCACGACGCTCCTCTTGAATTTGGTGCTCTCGCTCCTGTCGCTTCAGCTCAGCGATGGTCAGTTTCTCCTTGAGGAGTAGTTTCTCTTGCTCAAGAATAGCAGCTCGCTCCTCCTCCAGAGCTTTAAGGTTCTGCTCTTGTAACGCCTTCTTGTGTTTTTCCTCACGAGCGGCCTGTTGCAATTTCTGCGACCGGCTACGTTCTTGTTGCTCGGCCAATTCTTTCCAACGCTCCTCATTTTCCAATGCTTGGCGAAGTTTTGCTTCTGCAGCCTCACACTCCTGCTGGTTAAGCCAGCGCTGCCGGGTAGAAACCTGTGACTGCCATGCACGTTGGCACTGCTGCACGGCCCTCTGTTTCTCTCGCTCTTCACGTTCCCGTCGCAGCTCCTCTATTCGCCGCTCACTGTCCCATTGCAGGTGTGCTACGTAGCGTGTCTGGCTCATTATGTCCTCCTCTTGGTACCTGGCTAGCATTAGTGCAGCAATCTTTCGGTCACGCTCTGGAACAGCTTTAAGTCCTCGTCGTTTCACCTCTTTCACAATGCGCTCCACTTTTTGCATAGTCTGTGGAGAATGGCTAAGGTCTCCCAAGCTCAAACTACGACCCATCAGGGAGTTAAAGGTAGCTAAAGTGCGGGCACGAGAGCTTGATGTCTTAGCCCAGTGATCTCTTGCCCCATCCCAGCTATAGGATGAGGAAGCAGATTCAGAGGAGGTACATGTGGTAGTTGTGGTGTTCGTTGTTGAAGCAGTAGAGGAACAAAAAGTGTCACGCCTCCGTTGCAAAGACTCCAGTGAGTGGCTTCTGCATCTAGCCTTTGATTTGGAGATGATATGCCCATTATGCTGTGCAAACGTACTTGTAATGCCGTTGGCAGGGCTTTGGACAGCAGATTTTGACACTATCGGGGCAAGTGAGGTTGGTGTCCTTGGAAACGAAGAAGGTTTTGGTATTGATCTGGGGAAAGTGTTTGGAGCCTTTGTATGAGCACTGGAAGGTTTTTTTGAGCCCTGACTTCCTGGAGCTGACTGAATCGATCGTTGGATTATTGAAGGTTCTGGACCTTGAAGTTTTCCCGCAGATTCTACTTCAAGGGACTTAGACTTTTTTGCAGAAGTTCCTTTAGCAGTAGGAGCAGAGTTCACTGGACTGGCTTTTGAGATGGGAGGAGAGCTGGATGTGGACACTGTAGAAACTTGTCCTGACCCTGCTGTCGTGCTTTTAGGGGCTGTTGATGTAGATTGTTTTTTGGGTGCACCGCTGCAAGTAGGTGTTATTTTGGGGGCTGGATTTGTTAAACTCTGATTGGTTTGTTGAGACAATCCAGCATTTACAGTTTCCTCTGACTTCTCTGAAGCCAGTGGACCAGCATTATTGTTCAGAGCTGCCTGCAAAATTCGCCTCTTCTCCTCTCTGATAATCCGCTCTCTCTCTTCTCTGCAGTGTCGGAGTTTAGCATGTCTATCCCGCTCATATATCTCAAACATTCCTGTGGCGACACGCATACTCCGGCCGGGTGCCTCACGGGCAAAATCAGACAGTGGACGAAGCAGAAGCTCCACAGGTTTCACTCCACATCGTGCGCATGCCTCGAGAGAGCGAGGGCTTGTCAGTACATACCGACTGCCTTCTGCAGCTGGTGTGTCAAAATTGTAAAGGTCCAGATGTAGTTTTAACTCTTCTGGTTGACTGTTTTGCTGCTGGCATGGTTCTTGAGGGCTCAGTACAGGTTCAGTACTGGGCTCTGTCTGTGGGCTGGAATCCACACTAACATCTTTCTCTCTATCATCACCTGGCTCAGGTAGACAAGGTGCTTCAGAGGCTGCAGTGGGGCTTTCAAACTGGGCCCCTCTGAATTTACTCTGGTCATCAGGTTCCAATGGGTCCACCATGGTTCACTGTAAAAAAAACAGAACACACAAATATGAATACTGCGGTGTTTCAATAACAGTGCTGGATAACCCACAAGCAGATTTGTGGAATCACAGGGATTATTATGTTCTGTCTAGAGATCAAGGCTTAAGAGTGCTATCTAAGGTTGAGGGACGCCACAAAGTTTGCACATGCATGCATATTTTTTTATGCTCTGCTTCTGTATGTGATGACGGTTCCCGCCTCAGGGTAATTACATAAGGTTACACATGCATGCTGGGCAATATTAAAGAACTCATGCAGTTGCTATTTTTGGAGTCTGTGATTCAGATGCAATCATGCATGAATGTAAAACCATTTCAACATGTCTCATCTCTGCACTCTACATCTATCTATCTATCTATCTATCTATCCCTCTCTGACACTCTATCTAATGCATCTAAACCTCAATAATGCAGTTACTGCCTAAAAAACAGAAATGTCAAAATTATGTAATGTTTGTTTTCGTTCACTCCACTCTTGTGTAGGCTGTGTATCGCAAGCTTCGATAAACAACATAGTTTTATAGGCCCCAACAAGACATATGTTACTTATACAGTAAAGAAACGCTGATTTCAAAGAGCCATCTAAAGACACATATGCTCAAAACAGCCTCTCACTACGCAGATGGTTTCCAGTGCAGATGTTTTTATTTTACATACAGTATGCGGTCCCTATCACACCCAGCGCAATAATATCTGATGACACGAATGCGCTACAAATCACTTGCCCACAAGAACATAGGGCACGACGATATCGCAAAAAATCACTACGATTTAAAAAAAAAAGTCTTACCGCTATCAGGGCCCACTCATTCAGGGCGGATCAGGTCACTGATATTTCCCCTCTTCCTCATCAAATGTGTTTGAGATTCTGTGGGCGGTTCTCGTCTGGTTCTTTCCTTCAGCAGTCAGTCTCCACCTGCTGTTTGACACTCGCATCCTTGGCCGTGAAGCATCCGTGCTCCGCCTCCGTGTGACTGCGCTCTAAAAATATCGTACACATTCAGCCCTTTGTCCCCCTGTTATGACCATATGAACGGAGAATGAACGATTCTGCGTTGCTGTCATGATGAATATGCTCAAGGATGGCATGTGTTATGTATTTCATTTATGTATATCGGTGTTGTTTACACAGCCTAGAAAACAATATTGGTAGCCAATTGTTTCTGCACAAGAAAGAGTAATAGCAATAATAATAACGTACTTATAATATTAATTTATTATTTAAAACTGAATTTTTCGGTGTTAATTTTGCAAATGAAACCTTTGAAATTCAGCAGCGGTTATTTTGGAGAAAATTATTCTGACAGCGGCATCTGTTCAATGATGTAATAAGTATATCTATACACTAGGGGGCGCAATATGCACAACGATATCTTCGAAGGTTTTAAATGAATCCTACATGGACACTCAAGCTACTCTTAAAAACGTGTGAATTTTGCTTTAGATAACTAAATATCAAATCAAATGATATCTGCAAACATCGATTACCACATTTCCTCAGAACTAAGTTCACGTTTGTTTGTTTTTTGCAATTACAGTTGTTCCCAACTTAATTTTTATGGGATTTTTGAATTCATGTATGAGTTCCCCTGCAGTTCACCAGCAACCAGGTGTAAGTCGGGACATTATCTATTCACATGTTCACTGAACCCAATTTTATCCAAAAGGGTCAGATTGTCTTTTGACTCAAGTTTGAATGGCATATCAATTGTTTTATTGTTTAAAATGGTTTTAAAGTATTGTGAAATGTTTTGCTTAAAAACGGTTTGCCTTAAATTAAATGCCACTTGGTTAGGTAGTTTATCTAATGCAATAGCATTCATACATTTATAAGTGTATCTTAATTGTATAACTCTGTATATAACACACTAACGCCTTGGAATAGAAGGGAGCTGAGAAATCAAACCGTGATGGAGGAAGTTAAGATGATTTATGGTTGCTTTGTACAGCTTTATCAAAACAAATGTCCAAGTACTTGTAAGACGAGCAGTAAACACAACTTTCCATTCATTGACTTTTATGCCACAGGAATTTATGAACATTCATTATATGCATAATTGTGTTGCTGTTATGTAAAAGACAGAAACTCTTAATGGCCTGGTGATGATGCACAACTCATGTTAACTAACTAGTAACATTAGAAACAAATACTGTCTAATGTATAAAAACTCTCATGTCTATAATTAACTATCTAATCTACAAAAAAATAAAAAATAAATTATTAGCCTAATTTACTGTCATTTATAGCACTTTTGATACTTTTATGGTGCTTTTTGTAGCTTGATAGCACTAAGCCTAATTAACTTTAATTCTACAGAAAATACAGCCAATACTTTTTTCAAAAATCCACTTTTTGTTATATGGAAGAAATAAAGTCATACAGGTCTGGAATGACATGAAGTAATTAATATATAATTTTTTTACTTTCAGGTGAACTATTTCTTAACTGTCCAGAAAGTAACGTCACAGTGAAAAAAAATATTGCTAAATTTCATGAGATTCATCCAACAATAACAAACCTTTCCATTATCAGTTGTGCTAAATAAAATGCAAAAACAAACTCAAGAGTCCGGAGAGACTCTTTATAGAATAAGATTAGATAACTGGAGGGGGAGCCTGTGGTGGTGACCCACTAAACTTCTGACCCAGTGTAAGAACAGTGCGAGTTTAATTGACCCCCATCAGAAAAGCTGTGAGCGTGGGGTGACATCAAGGAACGTGCAGGCTGCCTTGTCATTTGGGGGCATGAGATCTGTGGTGGGGGGTTTATGGGAGATATAGTTCACTCTTCACAATAGTATGCTCCCAAAACTGTGCTGGGGTCAGAGAGAGGTGAGTTGCATGGTATAGCGATGGAACTGGGGTTAGCTGATGGAGACATATGGAAAAGCTTCAATGCCTTAATCAAGACCTAACAGGTTTTTGTTGCGATTTTTATTTTTATTTTTTTCATCTGGATTGCATTTCACTTATGAGCACTATTAGCTGATGGAATGATATCTCATTCATGAACCATGATGTCATGTCTAAATTACTGCTAACAAATAGAAACCTGGCATACTGTAATGCCACGGTTTTGTAGAATCCTCAAGTTTAAACTTTGATTATTCACATAATCCAGTAATCAAAGGCTAAATGCAGTTGCACATGCATTAGACTCAAATTTTGATTATTGGATTTTAGAGATGGTGCATTGTGGATGGATAATCCGGCTTTGCTCAGTATTATTTGAAATGATACACTGTATTTGGTAAACATATGAATTTGATTATTACATTAGAACATGCTATCTCTCCTCATAGGACTTTATTCTGGATAAAAAGTAACCAACGGACCCCAGCATGTCCACACAGTGAAATCTTCTGCAGTTGGATAATTGTTTGTAGAAGCTTATTGGAATTTGATTTGTTTTGAAGGACCAAGCTCCCTTCAGCTATTAATAAGGTATGTGTTATTGACAACAAAGGAACCCAAGTTTCCTCCTCCTCACTTGAATTGTTCTAATTATTGTGTGTTTGAACAATAATGTAAGGAAATAAAAAAAAAGCTTGCAGGTGCACTGACCATTTCTTTAATCACTCTCTTGGGGTGAATGACAAGAAAGAACCCAAAATCAAAACAAATAAATAATTAAACAATTTTTTTTTTCAGACCCATTCTGAATTACTATACAATGCAAACATAATTCCAGATTATTTAATTTGCGAAGTTTTTACGTTTTAAATTTTTTTAAGAAGTCTCTTGTTCTCACCGAAGCTGCATTTATTTGATAAAAATGTAGAAATTAATATATGTTATTTCAATTTAAACATTTTGTATTATTATAAATGTTATAAACAGTTGTGGTGTGTAATATTTTTTTGTAGAAACTTTGATACATTTTGCTTTTCAGTACTCTTTTTATGAATAGTAAGTTCTAAAGAACAGCATTTATTTGAAATCTTTACTGTCACCTTTGATTAAATTAATGTGTCCTTGCTGAATAAAAAGTATTAGTTTATTTTGAAGTATGAGGGTAAATCAGGCAAAGTATTAGTTGTACTGCCTTTACTTTATTAGTACATGACATGAAACATGAAAAGTTGACATGCTACTTGGTGTGACATGATGTATGAAATATAGAATTTAATATAAAAAAGTATTTCATTCTTTTGGAATTATATATTATTTTTTTTAATTATTATGCTGCTTTGATGCTTTGCAGCTCGTATCGATTGCAAAAATACATGGACTATTTGTACTTTTAAAAATGAATTTGTCATAACGCAACCATTTTCCTTTATGCATTGAAAGTGTGTATAAAGTTCAACACAAAATAATTGCCATGAATATAATGTTGATTGCAAAAAATCTCATTAGCCCTAAAAAAAAATCATCTTTTTATACAAAATGTAAAAAATATTAAACTTATTTATTTACTTACTTATTTTTCCCACCATTTGACACATTGTTCACCTGTCTAGAAAAATAATACCATGCAGGCCATAGAATTAACTACATCCAGATTTAGGACCCAGCGTCCACCTAGCAGGCCTGTCCTTGCGAAGACCGGGACCTCTGAATGCCCCCAGTTCACATTTCTAGCTTGGTTTTGCCAACAGCAAGGGCCACGCTTTGCTGACATTTTGACAACTCTGCGCTCTCGACCCCTAGCTACTTCCCCCCTCCTCCATCGGGCTGGCACCCCTCTCCGGTGGGGTGAAGGTCCCTGGGACCAAGCTGTTAATTCAATCAGGAGGGTGGTATGCTCAATTAGGCACTCATAAGGGCCCAGGAAGGGTCTGGGGCCCCAGCAGAGGGCAGGCAGCCCTACCCCTGAGAGCCATTAATTGTGGATGACAGTGTGTAAACACTTGGGTGAATAGGCGGTGCAGGTGTTGGACACACTACTCGTTGGACACTGTATCAGTGGTTCTTTTCACACCCCGCTTTCCTCTGAACGTTCTCTTTTTTTGGAGTCTCAGTCACTCTTCGCTTATCAGAAGAGGTGTTTGAAGGATAAAGATTGATCGATTTATATTTGTGTGTGTGTTGAGAGGTATCCTTCAAAGATGACCTCAAAGAAGGTGTAAAAAAAAAAAAAAGTCAGTGACTGGACCATCTGAACTCTTTGGCCAGGCCTGGAATCACATGACTTCTCCAGATATGGGAGCTTGTGAAAATTGCAGCCAGTACATGTAAAAGACATGGAATTCAACAAATGAAAGCCAGATGAGGGACTTTGAAGTGAAAGGGCTCCGCATCTGACCTCGCATTCTCTTGTTTTGAAGTCCTCTCTCTGTCCATGTCTTTTCTTCATTCTGCCACGATTAGGTCAAACAGGCACCTGTGCATGAGAAATATGGACAAAGATGTATTGAGCAATCCTCAGATCTGAAATGTCTTGTTATATGAGTCCCTACACTCACAATGTTTCGTCTTGAAGTACGAAGACACCAACAGAGCGTCTAGGAATACACACACACCTGTAAGCGATGTGAAATACCAAATTAGATCTGAGAAATGTTTTCCATTGAGATTACACTGAGACCAAATGGAGACTTCTGCTTTAGGTTTTTCTCCTGAGAAAAAGAACACAGTCTCTTCCTCGGAGTTTCGGGACAGATTTTCCAAGAAATCTGCAATCACGAGTATGAGATTTCAGTGTGAACTTCAATGCTTCTCATCCAACTCATTCAATAACAAGATGTCAGCTATTCACATTATTTATTTAGATTAACTGATTACACTTTATTTGGTGACTTTGTTACAGTGTTATTACACAAATAAGTACTGATAATATTAATTAACTACATGTACTAACTGGTTATGCTTAGGGTTTGGTTTAGGGTTAATTGCTTGTAATTATACATAATTTACTGCTATTAAAGTCAATATGTAAGTCAGTATGTAATGTGTAACTACATCACCTTAAAATAATTGTGTTACCCATTAATTTTGTAATTTTATAAAATTAAAGAATTATTACAGGTTAAGCTCAATCGACAGCATTTGTGGCATAGTGTTCATTATCAAATAAATAAATAAATAACATCCTATTAAAATAAATATTGTGAAGCACTTAAAACTGAAGGGAATGGGGCCAGTGAA